AGCCCACTAAATCGTCTGGTACGGATGGCGTACTTGCAAAAGTTCTGGACGAACTCTCAGACCAACTGGCCTCTCCGTCATCCAAGATCTTCAAAACTTCGACGGAGGACGGGGCTCTGCCTACCGACTGGAAGAAAGCAAACATAAGCCACATACATAAGGGTAGCGAGAGGACAGACCAACAAAGTTTCAGACCAGTGAGTCTCGCAAGCATCTGCTGCGAACTGACGGAAGAGCTAATAAAAACGAACTGATGCGACATCTTGAAGAAAAAAACTTGTTCAGTTTACATCAGCGTGGATTTCGAATCGGTGGATCCTGTCTTAATAACCTGCTAATATCCATGGAGAGCTAGACAAAATCAATCTGAACGGGTTTACCAGCCAACGTCGTGTAAATTGACCGCAGAAAGGCTTTTAATAGTGTTCCACACAGACGACTTATATTTAAATTACGTCAAGTGGGTGTGAATGGAACGCTGTTGAAATTGCTAGCTGATTTTCTTACGGGCAGGTCTCAGTGTGTGTATCGGTAACGCGAAATAGGAATAGGCGCCCGTTCACAGTGGCGTTCCGCAAGAGAGCGTTTTGGATCTAATACCGTTCTTATTATACGTGAATGACTGCCTGGGCTGTCTGAGCTGAGTGCGCGTAATGTTTGCCGATGATCTCGAATGGTGGAAATCAATAGAGAAGCCGGAAGACTTGCTACAGTTACAAATCTGCAAATCCGACATTTCGTTGCCTAGCCTTTGGACCTAGGTCCCAGAAAAAATTTGTCCGGCACCAGTGACGAGTGACACTCTATACGATTGTCAGTCAGATTCACCGGCTTGTCTATGATCCCCTTAACAGGTAAGTCCACTAACGATATGCAACCTCAAAGACAATGGTTCTACGACGTATGATTTGCAGCCCAACTCAACGAGAAGTGCCTAACATCATCAATTTTCCTACATTTGCCTATGCGGCAGACTATCTTTAAAGCACTTGGACATATGCGACCTCAAAGGACTACCTACAAAGTTATTGTATCTGCTTACCAATGCTGGATACGTAAGATAGGCACATTATACAAATTTTAGTTTTCATTTTTAATAGCCAAAATATATTTCTTAAGTTGAGCTTTAAATGTATGCAGGCCGAAGATCTTCTTCCCCAAGGTCACACAGACCTCAGTAACGAGATTTCAGTGTTCCTAAAATCAAGGCTTCAGTGTCATAACTTAACGTGAACTTCAACTGCAGCATGATCAACGCATATGAGTCCCAAATTTACTAACGGAGGACTTACTGGGCTTACATGTCAACCTGTTAAATGGAATTATTATTAGTCAAACCCGTTTTTTCAACAACAACAACAACAACAACAAAAAAAAAACAACAACACGCCATGCCGTCTCTTTGTGTAAGCAGGGTCTTGGGAAACAATCCCCTGACAGTTTTTCCTTATGTATATGTTTCCAATAATAAAAGCTGACTTCACCACAAAATGTTACCTAAGATTACAGGTGTTATAGGGAATAAAGATGTCGTCAACACCATGGTAGGCAGTTGGTACGCATAGGAACTCGGAAATTACGAAAATATCAACTATGATTTGAAAAGTAAGTGCGGATTTCCAGAAAAAATAACGCAAGTGTGACTAAAATAACACGAGAAATGCGCCTCGACATGCAAAATTTATGCATATGAGATAGTGCTCATTATTCACACTGGCCTTGCATGTAGACGAAAAACATTAATGAATCTGGATACATGAGTTGGTAGTAGAACCGGTGGATTTTAGATTGGCATATGGTTCTCTTGAAGTTTTATATATTTGCGCATTTATTTGTGCGAAAAACCCAAATACTTAATTACTGTTCTTAACTTTGTGCTAGTTATTTCGACACTGAAATTCGCTTGGTCTCGTGTTTATGTGCGCACGTATTGCCAAAGGCGCGAGACTCGACTTTTTTGCCTGCAGGAATTATGTGAGTTGGGCAGATGCGTTCATAGCATCCTGAGAATGCAATAAGTTTCTAAATTTTTATATTTCTAGCCATGTACGTATAACAAATCCATGCAACGACCCGGATATGATAAAGTCCAAGAATTGTTTGCAAAAGTATAAGGACAGACTGACCGACAGGAGCTGCGCTCACAAATCAGCAGTTTGGATGAAATTTTTCTCGCCTTACTGCATATTAGGTTGTAAAAAATTACAATTCTCGCACTCGTACGTA